CCCCCCCCCCCAAAATCCAGCCAATTATACTTGGACAGAGGACTCAGGTTCCCACCCTGAGCATGTATTTCATACCTGGCTGTGGTGCTGCAGGTGAGATGAGGTCCCTCAGTGCTCAGACCTCAGCACCTCAGCCTGCAGCTTCTAGCACACAGGAATCCCCATTCCCCAAAAGGAGTCTGACTGTATTTGTTAGGCCACTCCATATAATTTGTTCTTAGCAAGGATGATACCACCTCCAACATGGTTTAGAGTTGCACTGACCCTGCAGTGTGCCGGGCTGTCTTGCACACTTCTTGCTAGGTGGGTGCACCTTCCATATTTGTGGCAGAGGGCTCACTCCCTATCACCCCTTAGCCAAGTCTTAGCTCGGTACATTCCAACATCTGGCCCCTTGTGTCTGAGTCATCCTAGGGGTCTGTGCTCATGGTCCCCTGTGTGGCTGTAACAGTGTGGAACCTGCCAGCCCTCTAACCCCCAGGAGAATGGAGTGGGACAGAGGTGACCCACAAGCTGAGGCCTCAGCCAGCCTTTCCCAAGTGCACTTCCTCCCCTGTGTGGTCATTTTCTCTAGGACAGTCTTGGCCTCAGTATTGGAAGATGCCCTGGTAGGATCGGGTGAGATGTGTGTATAAGTATGTGATTCAAGGACTGGGGGCATTCTTGGAGGGTTAAGACCGGTGGTCAGAAGACTAGCTGAGAAAACCTGTGCCCTGTGGTGGACACCCAAAAGTGATGCTGTTTAAGAGGACAGCACTGTTTTTTTTTTTTTTGAGACAGTTTCATTTTGTCACCCTCTGTAGAGTGCTGTAGTGGCACAGCTCACAGCAACCTCAGACTCTTGGGTTTAAGCAATTCTCTTGCCCCAGCCTCCCAAGGAGCTGGGACTACAAGCGCTGGGCTATTTTTTTCTTCTTGTGGTTTGGCAGCCTGGGCTGGGTTTGAACCCACCAGCCCTGGTGTATATGGCCCGCGCCCTAACTACTGAGCTTCGGGCACCAAACTTCAGGTCGGATTCTTCTTTTTTGTAGAGACAGAGTCTCACTTCATCGCCCTCAGTAGAGTGCTGTGGCATCACACAGCTCACAGCAACCTCCAAATCCTGGGCTTAGGCGATTCTCTAGCCTCAACCTCCCGAGTAGCTGGGACTACAGGCGCCCGCCACAATGCCCGGCTATTTTTTTGTTGCAGTTTGGCCGGGGCCGGGTTTGAACCCGCCACTTAGGGGTGGCTTCTTAAAGGCAGCAAGTGGTAGCCGGTTCTTGGTCTTTTATTTGTGAATGGCATGGAGGTGTCACACGCACCAGCCTCTAGGGGCGCTCTGGGTCTCTCTCCAAAGCCCTGGCGTCTTGCCAGTTGTAGCCTTCTGGAGCAGAGAGAGACAGAGCTTCCCGAAAGAGGGGAAGGGGAGGTATCCCACCCTGGCTTCACCCTCGCCTCTACCCCCTGCTCAGTGTTAGGGAGCAATCCTCCAAGGGGCTCAGCCAGTCATTTCCTTTGCTGTTCGCTGACTGACCTCCAACTCAGAAATCCCATTGGGTTACTCGTCCCCACATGTTTAGGCATGTCTAGGGGCACTTCTAACTCCTGGACACGGAGCTGCGTGCCTCGACCATGGGTGACAAGAGCCAGCACTGCCCCACCCCGTCCTCTGGTGAACTCCGCTCCGGAAACCCAGAGAATCGAGGTACTTACACAAAAGCTTGAGGAGGAGGGCTCTGGGAAGCCACCCTGAAGCGAGCGGGTTCCAGCCCGGCCCAAGAGCAGCCTCTGAAAGAGCAGGGCCCTTCTCCCTCCACCTGGCTGGCTTCTGCGACCGCCAGAGCTAAGGAGCCGCCGACGGGTTTCACATGGGCCTGGGCCGACCTGAACGCGCGCAGTACTCTGGGTGAGGGAGTCCTGCACGCAGGGTGGCAAGGGCGGCCCTGGGCGTTGCTGAGTTTTTCTGTAAACGTTGGACCCCTACGAAACTGCCGTGTCCACTTATCGCAGAGACGTAGCCTGTCCGCGAGCCAGCAGGGACCGCAGAGCAGGGCCGTCCCGTCAAGTTCTCCGCTCCAGCCCCGGCCCCACCCCGCCTCCGGTCCCGCCCCCGCCCCGCCCCGCCCCCGGATCGTGCCCCGCCCCCGTCGAGCGCTTTACGGCGGAGGCCGAGCCGCGTGGTGAGTGGCTGTAAAGGGTCAGATGCGACGCCGCGCTCCGCTTCCCAGGCTCGGCCGTCTGGCCCGCCCTTCCCCACGATGGCGGGCGCTGTGGCGCGGGTTCAGTACCTGGCGGGTTTACGCTGCCCGCTCGGGGGTCTGGCAGCGGGCAGGCCCCGCGTGCTGCGCCATGAGGCGGAGGTCTTCCTGTCCACCGGGAGCGAGTTTGTCTACGTGCACGACCAGGAGGGCGGGCTGCTGACCGTGAGCGCCGGGCCCGTGGGGCGGGACGGACGGGACAGGGCCGGGGCGGGGACGGGAGAAGGCGGGAGGAGTCGTATTTGTGGAAAGTAAAGGCCAGAGGATCGCACCGACCGCCTGACGTCGCTCTCCTGGCACCCAGGTGGCGTACCGGTTCCCCAGCCGGGTGTGGCACCTGGAGCTCTTGGCTCTCCGCCGGGCGCTCTACGTTCTGTGCGCCCAGAAAGGCATTTACTACTTGTCGCTGGACCGCCCGAGCAGGTGAGGCGTGGGCGTGCCCCATGCGCGTCCCAGCCAGCCGCCCCGAGGCCCCGGGGCCTTTGTCACCCCTGCCCTGGTTTCCTCAGATAACATCTTTTGACCTCCACTCTCGGGAGGTCGCCCCAGATTGGTTCAGAATGAAATGAGCAACTCACCGTCGTTGCCCTTGGGGATCGTCGGGTACGGGTGGGCTCCCGAGTGTACAGCGCCATCTGTGCTGTATTTGCGGCCCCCTCGTCCGCTAGGCGATGTAATTGCTTCTCTAAGATCCGTTTTCAGAGAGCTCTTAACAAGCGGGGTGAAGCTGGTTAAGTGTGCAGGGGGAACAGGATTCTACCCCTTGGGCCCTGGTGGCCTAGTCCTCTCTGGTGAGATACACCTTTCCGGGGAGGGTCTCTAAAAGGGGAAGGAGAGGCTGTGGTTGTAGCCCCAGGAAAGGCGCTATGAACCAGAGTCAAAGATTGGCAAAGACTATCTGTGTCTGAAAGAAGCAAGCACTAGGCAGCTGGGCCCCTTTCCTCAGCACAAAGCTTAGACTATGCACCTGCTGACTGTAAGCTTAAGTCACAGAAAGGTGGCAGGTGCACCTCATGGTCTGAGCCTCACACCATCATGCTCAGTGCAGAACTATCTGTTCAAATGCTGTTTTTGGAAACCTGGGTATTTCATGTCCAGTATGTCTTCGATTGACAGGTGCTGAGCAGAGTCCAGGGAGCCTGCTAGGGACTGTGCATGTCACTGTAGGGACTCTCAAGATCAGACCCTATGAGGACCTCTGACCCAACTTGGTCCATTCCAGGTTATCATGAAAAGAATGTGTGTGTCCCACCCTGCCCACTCCTGACCAGCAGTTTCCTTGTTTTCAAAGGTCTATAAACCAGGTCGATGGGAACAGTGAGGACAGCGAATTCCTTTCCTCGGTGGTCCCCGTGGGCCCTGATGCCTGCATCCTCCCTGATGCCTCACTGTGTGCTTTCACCGTGCTTGACGGCACACTTGTCACCCTGGTGCAGGGCCCCACCCAGTGGAAGATGCAGCTCTTTGAGTGTTCCTGTCCAGGGGAGGACCCCAAGCTGGGAGGCCAGATTGGCGAGGTTGAGTTGTCCACCTACACCCCTCCAGCTGGGGTCCTGGGGAAATCTGCAGACCCCCACTTTCTCCCAGTGCTGTGCTGTGTGTCACTGCCAGCCTCTGAGTTCCTGCACAACCGCCTCTGGGGCTCTGGCAGTCTCACATTGAAGGAGACCCTCTTTGGGCTCCTCTTTGGAGCTGATGCCACCCTCCTGGAGTCACCTGTGATCCTCTGCGGTCTCCCTGATGGCCAGCTCTGCTGTATGGTCCTGAAGGCCCTCGTCACCTCCAGGTCAGCCCCAGGTGACCCTAAGGCCCTTGTAAAGATCCTCCATCACCTAGAAGAGCCTGTCATCTTCATAGGAGCCTTGAAGACAGATCCACAAGCTGAGGAGGCTGCGGAGGAGACGTCACTGGGTGATGATGTGCACTCTGACTGCCTGGTGGCCCTCGGTCACCATGGCCGGACACTTGCCATCAAAGCCAGCTGGGACAAGTCTGGGATTCTGGTGCCAGAGCTTCGAGAGTACTGCCTGCCAGGCCCTGTGCTCTGCGCTGCCTGTGGCGGAGACAGCCACCTATACCACAGCACCCCCTCAGACCTCTGTATGGTGGACCTTGCTCCAGGCAGCACCCCTTTGGACCCTACGAAGCCTGATGGGAGCCCAGGAGGCCTGCCCCCTCTGCTGTGCCCAGCCAGTCTGAGCGTCTGCAGCGTCCTCAGTCTCTTCGTGTCTAGGACTCCTGAAGGTACAAGCTCCTGTTTAAATGTGAGAAACTGAAAGCTTGGGGGGCCCCCTCCCTTTGGCTGTCTTCTCTTCTGTGAATGGGCTTGTCCTCTGTCCAGGGCTGGTTCTTGTTTTACAAACCTGGCAGGTCAGGCTTATCCACACCTGGTACAGCCTAGTGGTTAACTCATGTCCTGTTTTGGTGTTGGGAGTGTCAGGGAGCACCTGGTTGTGCATGTCCCCCATGGGTTGAGAGGTGTATAGCTCAGCCTGGGTAGGGCCTGGCCCTGGGCTGGTCTTAGGCTCAAAGCTCCCTGTGTCTCTGTGACCCAGCGTCTCTCTCTTTGATGGGTCTTATACAGTATATTGTCCAGGGGAACTCAGTCTGTTCAGGTCAAGCCTTTTATGCATTTTCTGAAGGCTGGAAAACACCTGTCTGCCCTGCCTGTGAGTCCATCCTTGACTAGAGGTGGGTGGCAGCACAGAGCTCGAGTTTTGAATGTTTTCCCCTAGACAGAATGAGAGAGGTTTGGATGTGGGAGTGAGCGGAAAATACCTACCCTTCCCCAGCATATTTTCCTATTAGGATGGACTCTGAGTTTGCTCATCTTGCCATGGAAAACATCAACAAGAAAGAAATGCTTTGAAGGGAAAAGGTAGACTTTCCAGCATAGGAAGAGAGGGACCCGGGTATCGTCCGCACTGGGGAGGCAGAGTGAGGCAGCAGGAGCCGGGGCTCAGGGACAGGAGAGCAGTGCCTTTGTCTCAAGGACCTTCTTTTCCTCACTTGGACATTTGTCCTGGAGCCTCAGGGGAAACCCTGCCAAATATTGAGCAGGCCCCATGTGTGTCCATGACCAGGTGGCACGGAGCTCCTGGCCCTGTCTGCCAAAGGCCGCCTGATGATTTGCAGCCTGGACCTAAACTCGGAGGTGCCTGGCCCCAGGATGACCAGAGCCAGCACAGGCCAGAAAATTAAGGAACTGCTCTCTGGAATTGGCAATGTCTCTGAGAGGTAAGTAGCTGGGCTCTGGCTGGGCAGAGGCTAGTGCTATGGTCTTTAAGAGGTAGCATTCTAGGCTTGGCACCTGTGGCTCAAGTGGCTAAGGCACCAGCCACATACACCTGAGCCAGTGGGTTTGTATCCAGCCCGGGCCTGCTAAACAATGACAGCTGCAACCAAAAAAAAACTGGGCTTTGTGGCAGGCTCCTGTAGTCCCAGCTACCATGTTTCCCTGAAAATAAGACCTACCCCAAAAATAAACCCTACCAGGATTTCTATGCATTTGTTAAATATAACCCCTACCCCGATAATAAGACCTAGTAATGGGCGTCTGCATAGCCACACCATGCATTTTGGCATGGAGCAGTAGGTATGACTGGAATACCTTTTATCTGCCACAGTTCCTTTCTCCAAGCCATTCACACTTGAGCTGGTGTGCGTGTGGCTTACGTGTGGTAGCCACGGTCACAGGCATCCTATTGCACACGTGCAAATGGCTAGGGGAAAGGAGTTCACGCATCACTAGCACCAGCCCCACCAACAAGGTTGGCTCCCCCATCAGGTTCCAGAAGAAGGTGACTTAACTGCATTTGTTGTATTATACTTAATAAAAATAAGACATCCGCTGAAAATAAGCCCTAGTATGTCTTCTTAAGAAAAAATAAATA